GACCAAGTGGCAGCATGGATGGACTCAAGCATCACAACAGTAGTGAAGTTGGCCCAGGCTTGGGCAGTGTTTCGTTTTGCTGTGCATAAGGTTGCTATAGGTTGGTACTGACTCAATGGTACCTAACAACAACAACAACAACAATGGTGGCACAGTGGGGCAAGTTGTAGATTGCTAACTGTAAGGTGTATGGTTCAACTAAGTCCTGTGACTTCACAGGAGAAAAAGGAGGTTATCAGCACCCATAAAAATTTAAATTCTCAGAAACCTTAGGGAACTGTTCTACTCTGTCCTATAGGGTAATTCTGAGTTGGAATTGACTCATTAGCAATGAGTTGGGTTTATCTAGCTAGCTAGCTAGCTAAAAGGAAGGGAATGAAGATGGATAAATAAAGCATTTTAGAAGCAGTGCAACTAGACTAGCATAAGAGTTTCCTAAAATAGAAGGCAAGCAAATAGAAGGATTTGCTGGGTGGTTGTGTGCGTATGAATCAGTTCCTACTCATAGCAACCCTGTATAAGGTTTCAGAGACAATAAATGTTTATGGGAGCAGAAAATCTCATGTTTATCCCACAGTGTGATTGATAGATTCGAAGTACAGACCTTACAGTTAGCAGCAGAACTCATAATCCACTACACTACCAAGACTCCTTTTAGAAGGACTGGTACTCTTCATTTGCCCTAATGAAGTATAGAAAGTTCATTCTAATACTTTACCAAGCATGGTGTCCTTCTCCAGGGGCTGGTCCCTCCTAGCAACATGTCCAAAGTATGTGAGACAAAGTCTCTTCAACCTCACTTCTAAGGAACTTTCTTGTTATATCTTAATTTCAGCAATAAATTTATCAAATTTATTAATTATTCTTGTGAATAAGGTGATAAAGTGAGGTTGTCCTCTTGGATGAGTTCCTAGCTTTACCATAGTAATTTCAATTAACTGGAATGTCAACCTGTGAGAAAAGCCACTCATGAAATGCCACCATGAGGTTTTAACAGTAGCTTAAAATATGTGACAAAAAGTTGCAAATGAAAAATGTTATATACAATAAAGTTAAAAGGAATATGTACTATGATGAAAGATTAAGTTAGATGGTATCAGGCACACATAGAATCATATATATAGACACACAAACAAACATGGGGCTTCAAACAATACATGGATAAATTCCATCTGTCCAAAAATTTTTAAAGCTGCTTTGCATATATGTTTAATGGAAAAATAATTTTTGATCCAATGCCTGATATTTATGAAGCTTAATAAAGACCTGCATTTAAGTAAAAACAAACAACACATAAATAGCACAGGTGTAAAGTGAGAAAACTGGGGTCTTAGTTAATCACACATAATAATCTTTTCTCTATCTGAGGAGGTTTTAAAAAGTTCATAGGAAAATTGAATTAAAACAAAATGGAATTTTTGTTTGTTTTTTGTTTTTTTTCAAGTCCCCTCATGCAGCTAAGATCTTTGAAAATGGAAAGGTCTGTCCTAGGTTTCGGGACCAGAATTCACAGGAAGCAAAACCTAACCTGATCTAATTTGAGATTATTTTTGGTATATATATATATGCATATATCCACCTATAATAATTAATATTTCCATAGCAAAGTATCTGAGTAATATGACTACTTTATATAATATATGATACATGGACTGTATCACATTTCTACATTTTTAAAAACTCTTGAGTCTTGAGAGAATTTGACGTCAAGAGTTAGAATAAAAGGTTTTGCAACTAAATAATTCAAAAGTGTAACACATTACTAAAGAGTAAAGGAAATTTTGGTCAAATTTTAGTAGCAGTTATTCTTGAATCACCAAAAATATAACAATTCATCTACTCAGATAACATATGGAAATTCAAGTACTATACTTTAAGAAGATTGTTAAACATTCTTGTGTCTAAGAAAGTTCCTCCATAGGATAAGCACTGGACTGTGAACCACAAGGTCTATAGTTCGAATCTGCCAGCCTTTCCACAGGAGAAAGATGAGGATTTCTGTTCCCGTGCAATTTAAAAAGCCTCAGAACCAGGGTACTATGAGTTGGCACCAACTTGACAGCACTCAACAGCAATAACACGAAAGTTCCTAAAATATGGTGGTGTTGCTGAGTCTGCTCCAACTCATAATGATCTTGTATAGCGCTTCGAAGGAGTGGCTGGTGTGTTTGTTTGCCATTAGTAACCCAATAAATCTGATTATCCAAACACAAACCTATCTTCTATTGCCAACATATCTTTCTGGTTTTACCTCACCCTTCCCTACCCCAGACTATTCACCAATCGCTCTGTATTGGTTGCTTCAGTGACTCTGCTCATGATACTTATCTATAGAAATGCTCATTCCACCTAATGCCAGCTCTAGAAATCCTGTCCTTTTCAAAGATATACATAGACTGCCTATATCTCTTAAGAGGTTTCCCCTAATCCCTCTAGTGAATGTCAGTGTCTCTTCTTCTATGAATTTAAGATTACTTGATAGTTAGTTCTTGTACACTCAAGAACAAATATGATTTATATTTATGTGTTCTTCTCCAAACACATTTTAAGTTCCTTAAGAGCTAGGGCTGCCATTTATACCCACCCCTCAGTAGCACCTGATGGCATTACTTGTGTGCATTTATAATAAAAAAGTTAATTAATTGAATCAAAATTAGTAAGGATGATAAAAAAAAAACAAAACACTAACTTTGAATCATTTTACACCTACCTCTCACTTAGCGACTATCTCATTATCTGACATTTCCAACTACTGTTAATTTTTCAACATTAAGACATGACTTAAAGGAATTCTGTGGTACAAGGTGAAAGTAACACTGGCTATTATGATTAAACTTATGTGTCAACTTGGCTGGTCCATGTTTCTCAGTGGTTTGAAAATTGTTTTTATTCAGCATTTGTAAACTGATGCAATCTAACAGTTATATAATGCTGTTGTTGTTGTTGTTGTTAAGTGCTGTGGAGTCTGTTCCTAATCATAGTGACCCTGTATAGGGTTTCCGAGAAGCAACTGGTGAGCTCGAACCGCTAACCTTGCGGTTCAAATTAACCAACAGTGCCACATCAGGACTCCATATAATATTATGTTGTTGTTGTTGTTATGTGCCATCGAGTCGGTTCCGACCCATAGCGACCCTGTATAGGGTTTCCGAGGGTGTAAATCTTTACGGGAGTAGAAAGCCTCATCTTTCTCCCGCGGAGCAGCTGGTAGTTTTGAACCGCTGACCTTAAGGTTTGCAGCCTGATTCATAACCACTATGCTACAGTCATCCTCTATTTGGGATCTGATGTGGCCAACTCTCCATTTTCATATAACTCCGATTTTCATACAGCAACTTGATCTTTAGAAACAAACCATGTTGATAAGCGAGAGTAGAAACTAATATCTACTTTTGCTGACTGGCTACAGAACTTCACTACTATCAAAATTCAGTACTTAATGAAGGTAAAAATGATTAAGTAAACAAACTAGCACCTAACCTCATGAAAGGATAAAGCCTAAAATGACACATGAAAACAATTTTTAAAACTGTAAAATGAGGATCTATCATACTGAAGAGGATGTAGTTGCCAGAAACAGAACATCAGATTATGCATGAATTTAAACAGGCACAAATTTCAACATAACAACTTTCTATTAGCCACTATGATCTGGTAATAAAAGAGGCTATTTCATAAATCAGTTTATTATCTCTACATTTGGCCCTACTAGAGAGTAAATGATGATCTGTTAGGAATAATACAGATAGATTTTCCTAAATTAGATTTCTCAAGTAGTTATACTTGAGATTATTAATTTTAGGATGAAGAACTTTTTGTGTTTTAACCACCAAACTAGAATTTTATAATACTAAATAATTTAGCTTGTCACCATAAGATAAATTTTAATTCCATACATTTTATCCTTTAAAAAATAGTGTATTCCACTTGAATGAATATAAAAGATTCTAAATTGTTAAAAAGGAATGATGATTGTGTTGATTCAATGAAAGAATCCTAACATTATGAAGAGTATTAAGTCTCTGGACCAAAATTATCTATTGATATATGTTGTTTTTGTTGTTAAATGCCGTCGAGTTGGTTTCAACCCATAGTGACCCTATATAGGGTTTCCGAGGAGCAGCTGGTGAGCTTCAACCACTGACCTTGCAGATCAAACTGACTTTGCAGTCCAGTGCAAAGTCCCACAGCACCACACCAAGACTGATATACAGAAAAGGTTTAAAATACTTTTTGCTTAGATTGATACAATAGGAAATAGTGCTAATACATTATGGAAATTACAAGTCTCTCTAGTCAAATGCCTAAAATCAAATAAACCTCAAATGGGCTTTCTTTGAAAGAAAAATAATAGTATAATCAGTTTGAACCACAAGATCAGTGGTTCAAGGTCACCAGCTGTTCCTAGGAAACTCTATAAAGGGTTGCTATGGGTCAGAACCAACTCGATGGCACTTACCAACAACAACTCGATGGCAAATAACAGCAACATACTGATGTAATGCTTTGTAACTTAGAAAACATTTTCATATATTTAGAAAATTAGGTTGCATCAAGGCAGAGAAGTAAATTTTTGTACCTAAGGAATAAAGAGTATTCTAAGGAAACTGAGGTTCTAAGGCCTTTCCTTATGCCATTGCTAAATAAATACTAGAGAAAGATTTCAACTATTACCATTCTGTCCTTCCCACTAGGTAAGACCTCAGAACATAATGACTTCTAAGTAAAAAGTTGATGCAATGATGTGCTTGCTAAAGTGTGAGTACACATGTCCATCATCAGTATGTATTGCTTGAAAAGGGATTGGAATTAAACTAAAACTTAGGATACATTTCAACATAAGATAATAATTTACTCTAAGTACCCTAATAGGAATTTATACCAAAGCAGTTCCTTCCTCAAGTATAATAAGAGCTTTAAGTTATTTTTTATTCCTATTTCAATACTTCATTATATTGACCCAAGACTCGGTTCTTTCCAGCATATGCCCACATACAAACCTCATCTCCTTCCTGAGGTCGCATCAAGGAAACACGGTCGTATTGTCGCCGCAACAAAGCCCAAAGTGCATCAAGACGGCCCTAAACAGAAAAGTAATTTATAAATTCCCAGGGAATGTACTCAACCACTGCTTGCTGAATAAATGAAAAATTGAAACAAAGCAACTGAAATATAACTCTATTTTTGCCCTTTTACAATTAAACTAAAATAAACAGATAAATAATTGGGTGTTCTTGTTGTCAAAATTGTTTGAATGTAAAGTGAGTGTCTGTTACTTGATCAAACTTTACTTTTATTCAGTCTTAGCAGGATTTTTTAGTTTGTTTTTTGCTTGCTTGCTAGTAATTTTTTTTCTTTAAGAAAATTGTCCCAAAATTGAAGTCTCTCAAACACTTCCAATAACACTGAAAATTGATTCAACACTTTTGGGAGCAATTTGATGATATCTATCAAGAGTTTTTAACATGTCCATGCCTCTTGGGTTCTATAATTTCATTTCAATGAATACATTAAAAAAAAAAAAAAATCAGTATGCAACTACTCTGCTACTATCTTACTTTTGGTATTCAAACCTCTCCTAATGTCTTGCTTCAAAAAGTTATAGTTATGGTTGTTTACTTAGTCCATCCATTTCTCTTATATTCTAAGTCTCATTCTTGGATCAGGTAAACTAGAGCTCTGTTGTCTTATATCACACTTATTTTGGCTTCCTTTAAAATTGTCTGTTTTTCAAATTGTACTTGGCCATTTACCAGTGGCCCTTTTTGAGCTAAAACATTTTCTATCATATATAATGTAAAAAGATTGTTAGAGAAGACATTGTCTTTTATCCTGTCCCAGGAAAATATGTACCTCATACAAACAATTTTGAAATAAGTTTTTTAATCTCATAAAACTATGAATGATATCACAACTTTGTTATGGTAAAGTTTTATATTTTTATATTTATGTAGTAAGTTATAGTTCATAAAAATATAAAATACAAAAGAGATATTCATTGCAATGTTATTTATAGCAGGTTTGCTACAGGAAATTAAATAGACAAAAATATGTTAATTGTGTACAGAGTCCTGGTACATAACTGAAGGTTGTAGGATAAGCATAAGCACTGGACTGCAAGGTCAGTTTGAACTGAAAGGTCAGTGGTTCAAACTGATCAACTGGTCCTCAGAAACCTATATGGGGTCGCTGTGAGTCAGAACTGACTCGACGGCACTTAACAACAACACAATTAAATACAACAAGTTTATAACAACATTGACATATTCGTTTCTTAAAATCCAATATGTGAAAAAGTGGAATAAATGAGTTTTGGATAGAGCATGATCTCCATTATAGAGAATGTTGTTGTTACATACTGTGGAGTCAGTTCTGACTCATAGTGACCTTGCAAAGGGTTTCCAAGGCTGTAAATCTTTACAGGAGCAGAAAGCCTCAGCTTTCTCCCACGGAACACCTGGTAGTTTCAGACTACCCACCTTGAGGTTCGCAGCCTGATTCGTAACTACTACACTACCAGAGCTCTTTATTATATAGAATATTCTTTCTTAAACTAGGATAATATATTGACAGTATTGTGAAATGATGCATAAATATATATTCTTCCTTCCTGAATAAAAATATTTTAACTATTATATTAAAATTTTAATATAATAAAGTATTTTTCACATTGTCTTATTCAAGTAGTCATCACATTATTTTATAATAATTAGGTAATAAAGACCATGTGGAATTCACTAAAGCATGGATTGTTGTTGTTAAGTGTTGTCAAGTCAGTTCTGACCAACAACAACCTTGTATGGGGTTTCCAGGCTGTAAATCTTTACGGAAGCAGAAAGTCTCATCTTTCTCCCAAAAAAAAAAAACACAGATAACAAATACCAATAAAGATAATTAGTAATCTAAAATCAATCATTGATTTAAATGTAGTCCTAAACTTTGAACTAAGTTCTTCAATTATCTACCCTACACAGTCAATTTGGAGTCCTGGTGTGGCACTGTGGGCTAACGTGTCACATTGCAAAATCATCTGAACTGCAAGGTCGGTGGTTCAAGCTCACCAGCTTCTCCTTGGAAACCCTATACAGGGTCACCATGGGTTGGAATCAACTCGAGAACACATAACTACAACTGCAACTATTCAGTCAACTATTTAGTTATCCAGATAAATTGGAGTACAGGATCTGAAAAAGCTACCATATCTACAGGCTTATGCTAAATTGCATGAAATTTGTACAAGTACCTTAATTGGTGTGTACCACTTTGTCTGAGGAGGCTGGTGTATGGGTTTGGGCCTCGGTGGTCTAGGATTAACAGGTCCCTCTGCTTCTTCAGGAATCGTCACCACAGCATTTTTAGCTTTTTCTAGCCTTGCACCTTCCTCAGTGGATCCTTTATCACCCCAACGAACCTTTAAAATAAAAGATAAATACAGGTATTAGATACACAGTAATATATGTGAAACAAAACAAAATTTTATTTAGCCTACGGTTCTTTGGTCTACAATGTCATAGTGAAAAGACATTAACTAGGTATTAAAAAACAAACAAACACAAAAACAAAAACAAACTGCCATAGAGTCCATTCTACCTCCCAGTGACCCCATCCATGTGTTTTAGAGTAGAAGTATGTTTCATAGAGTTTTAGTGGCTGACTTTTTAGAAGTAGATGACCAAGCATTTTTTCTGAGGTACCTCTGGATAGAATTAAAAAGCCAACCCTTAGGTTAACAAGGAGCATTGGTTGTGCAGTGGGTTAAGTATTGGGCTGCTACCTCAAAGGTTGGTGGTTGGAACCTACCAGCTGCTCTGAGGGAGAAAGATGAGACTGGCTGCTTCAGTAAAGACTGACAATCTCACAAAGTCAAGAGCAGTTTTACTCTGTCCTGTGAGGTCACTACGAACCAGAAGCCACTCAACAGTAGTGAGTTTGGCTTTTAGATTTTAGGTTAGCTACACCAGGACTCTTCCTGATTAGGTATAATAATTACACATTCTTCTGATATTTAATACATTTCTCACTACTCCTTACCTGGAGTCCTGGTGTGGCTCTGTGGGCTAATGATCTAGACTGCAAAGTTGGTTTGGACTACAAGTTCAGTGGTTCAAGCTCACCAACAGCTCCTTAGAAACCCTATAAAGGATTGTTATGGCTTGGAACTGACTCAACGGCATTTGACAACAGCAACAACTCCTTATCTATTTAATACTGAGATCCTAGAAATGAGTTCCTTCATAAATTGTTGTTTTTGATAAAGGTTGTCCAGTCATTTAAAACTCATAGTGATCCTGTAGAGGGTTTCCAAGGAACAGCTGGTAGGTTTGAACTGCTGATCTTGTAACTGCTGATCTTGTATAATGCATGCAATTAATTAAACTTGAAGCAACTATTTTTCCATAGTTACAAATGTGGAGTTAATTAGTCTACACAGGAAATGCATGAAGTTTGTACTTTTCTAATTGGGTGTGTTCCCTTACTAGGTAAACCAGTACCTAAAGATACTTGATAATACTGGGATAAACTGATGATGACTACTATGATGATAATTAACATTTTTTCAGAAATGCAATGAAAATATGGAAGTACTTTAGCAAGACAGAACACTGTCCAACTCACTTGCTTCAGACACATCATCAAGGATCAATTACTAGAGAAAGACGTCATATTAGGCAAAGTAGAGGGTCAACCAGGGTGAAGAAGACCCTTGGTGAGATAGATTGGCACAACGGTTGCACTAATGAACTTGAACACACTGTCAATGGTGAATATGATGAAGGACCAAGCAATATTTTGTTCTATTGCATGTAAAGTTGCCAGAAGTGAAGTCCAAATCAACTTCATGGCAGATGTCCATCTATCTACTTAATCAGTACCACTCTCTCATTTAATCCACAGAAAAACACATAATGAGATAGATATCACATTTGTTTCCAGATGAGGAAACCAAGGCACAGAGAGTTTATCGATGTGCCTAAATCACACAGTTAAATAATAGGACAAGTTTGAACCTAAGCAGTCTGAACGGGATTAAAGACTTTCAAACAGGTTTAATTTTACAAACTCATTTCATACGTAGGAATTGTTTCTCCTTTCAAACTTTTCTTCAAATTTCAAGGCAAAGTCTGATTTTGACGCTTAGTCTTTGGAAATAAAAAAAAATTATAAATATTTTTTCTTTACTTTTATATAAAGTAGCATTTGGTCTTTATTAGATCTTGTGTTTATACACATGATTATTTAGTATATGAATTTTTCATTACGTTAGACAAATTTGAAAAGACCCTATTTTGAAAAGAACTCAGGCCAAGGAACACCACAAATTTTAGAGACTCTCCTTCTCTGAAAATTCCTGATGTTGAAAATACAGAGTCTGATAATTATTTTCTTTATTTTGCAAGGAACAGAAATTGGGGTTAACTCTGAGCCAAACTTTTTTATGCAGTCCCTGAAGAATGGTACGGTTCAGGCAGATGAAAGTTGGAAAGTCCTATGAAAACCAAGGGCATTTCCAAAGACCACAAAGATAAGGCAAGTAGAACTCTAAAAGGAAATAAGGAGGCACACAGTGGCTCGTCATACTGCAGTGATTTCAACAAAGGAAAAAAAAAAATTCAAGGCATTTTAATGACCTGACTTAGTGGGCTGGGGTACAGATGATCAATGATCATAGCAAGAACTATTCACAGCTTTTTGATAAGACTTTCTTAGATGTTTTAAACTACAACTTAAAAAGGGGCTTTCAATTTTAAGTGGACCCTATTGAGTCATTAAAATGTATCTGTAACTTTCAGTATGATCAGTGGTACTAGAATGTTCTTTATGAGGTTGTTAAAATTGTTTTAAACACCATTAAACCTTTAGAGCTACGTAGTTGGCTTTCTTTTCAGAGAAATGACCTTCTCTTTCAAATCACAGTAGCTTCACCTAGATCGAAGGGGTGGGCGTGGGGGTGGGGAGGGATATTCCACCTGTGGTCCGTTTAAACCCTCAAAATCATTTGATCTGATGCTGTCAAGGCAACCACAAGCGGTACTCAAAATTCAATAAATCTAGGAGGTGTTTCCACACCAGCATAAATTTATATTAAGTGATGTTATAAATATCCAAATGGTCTTTGGCAAGAAAAGGTTCCCCACCCCTGACCTAGATAAATGAAAACTTATAAAATCTTTAGATACAGCAAAATTAGATTAAAACTCTAAAAATAATATACATATCTTTGAGATTGCAAGTCTCAGTTTTAAGGAGGAAAAAAAAACACCACCAACAATAAAAGGAGACACATAATGAAAAAAACATATACATTTCTAACTCAGAAAAGTAAACACAAATAAAAATATAAGAAATAATATTTATATCTTTTTAGAAATGATAGATTAAAAAAAATGTATAATCCTACTTAGGTGTCCCAGTTGATAAAGTAGTTGTTGTTAAGGACTACTGAGTCAGTTGTGACTCATAGTGACCCTAAATAGGATTTCCAAGGAGTGGCTGGTGACTTTGAACTGTCGACCTTGAAGATCAAACCAACCTTGAGGTAAAAGGTTATCCTACAGCACCACACCTGATAAGGTAGGGATAATGGCAATCATATTCTTTTTGCAACTATTACTAGCAACATTCTCAGACAAAGAGCACAAAGCTAGATGAACTAGAGTTACCCAAAGTGCCTTTCTAAGGACTCAACAATCAATAGACAATACTTTTAGAACTATAATTGCTAAGAACCTAAAGGAAAAAAAATTGAGTGAAATCATTTATTAGTTCATGAGTTAATTTTTTCATTACCATCATCACCACCACCACAAACAATTCTCACTTACTAAATCTCTAAGACTAAACTCAGAACTGCTTTAAATGACTAGTCTTTAGTTTTCACAAAACTCTCAAAGAGTATATATATATACACACACACACACATATAAATTTGTGTGTTTTTAACTTGACCACATTGAGATACTAAAAATAGTGAAAAAGTAACAAGTATAGATTGCTAAAGGAAGACTCAGATGAATTAATATATCTGGCTTTGTATTATGGAAAAAATTAAGTGTAAGTTTGATAACAAAATTGACATCTAAGTTCATCCAATTCTACTTGACTTTCATTATTAAACAATGAAATCTTCTAATTTCCTGATCATATCTGAATGACTATAGAGTTGTATCATAAAGGAGTAGTTTCCAAATTAAGAAAAGAAACTGAATTAGAAGTTTCACACTGAATTAGAAGCAACACACTTGAAGTCATGAGATATTATGGGTGAGTTAAAACGATAGCTGTTAACATTAACTCAAATCCAGATTTCTGAAAATTGCCATTACTGTAGTGGTGGTGGTGGTATGTCATCGAGTTGGTTCTGACTCACAGCAACCCTGTATAGGGCTTCAGAGGCTATAAATATTTATGGGGGCAGAAAATCTCATGATTCTCCCACAGAGCGACTGGTGGATTCAAACTGTTGATTTAGCAGCCCAATGCATAACTCGGTATGCTGCCCGGGCTCCTTTCCATTGCCATAATGTTTAAATATTTGATTTTAAAAAGTAAGAAAAAAACCTAAGTAAAATTCCTATACTATCTTAAAATCATAATAGTTATGATCTGCTCTTTAATTCAGATTTACTCATACTTTCTGCAATTGCTTACATTTTTCCTCCAGTTCAAAATCTTTTTTTTTAAGGAAATACTTCCCAAGTGTGAATAATCATGCTTTTACTTTATTTTATTTCTTGACTATTTAAAAGTCAGGAATTTCCCTCAATTTTCCATTCCATGCTCTGTTCCCATTCTGTTCTCACCAAAGTCACTAGAAACAACCAATTTATGCATTTGAACTAGACATACCCTGAAAACAGACTTCTTCTGTTTTCCCACTCCAAGTTCAAATAAGTTCACATTAGAAAAATTGTAATAACACTAATTCTCAATTTCAGAATACATGTTCCTAATAAATCTTTCTCAGCCATATTTGAGAAATTTATTTCAATAAAATTTAAAAAAAATATATTATGTCTATTACTTCCCTGTATAATGTCCACATTTGCTTGTCCATTTTGCTTTCTTATTCATATAAATTGTTAGAACAATCCTTACAATTGAGTGAAAATTAGCCAAGGTTCACATGGGCTAACAGTTGTTGAAAGTGTTTGAATATTTTTCACAAATTTTCCTTAATAGGTAATAGAGTCAGGAGTCCTGGTGTGGCGCAGTAGGTTAATGGCACCAGACTGCAAAACGGTTTGAACTTCAAGGTTGACAGTTCAAGCTCACCAGCTGCTCCTCAGAAACACTATACAAGGTCACTATGGGTCGGAATCAATTCAACAGCACTTAACAACAACAACATGGTCAGGAGATCTTATTTCACATATATGAGTAATAACTCTTGAAACTTCAAATGGAATGGGATTGAGCCCTTGGCTCTCTTGCTTGTAAACTAATAGCATTCCTTTTAGTTCAGGATTTATCTAGGAGCTGAAGCTTACTTTACCCTTTAATTTAGAAAGAAACCTCAATCTTTGGAACACTTGCATATTGGACAATGAAAAAGCAGACATTTTCTTTTTCCTAATATTTCAGTGGGAGTATTATTCATGTATTTTGCATTAACTAACACATCCTTGAGTCATGGTGTGGCACTGTAGGATAAACACTGGACTGCAAACTACAAGGTTGGTAGTTCAATCCCACTAGTCATTATTGGAGATCACAGAAGTGTTCACAGTAAGTTACAATGGACTTGATGCATACAACAACAACATAAACTTGCCTTCTATTTGTTATGTATTTTACATGTGTAGATTTCAAAATGGAATTAAATCTATTATTCTGAGTCTGAAGTATGCATGCTCATTTTCAAATAAATTTTTAAAAAACAAAAAATCTAGAAACTAGATCTCACAAACCTGCTAACATTTTGTACTTTATACAATCAAGTCTTCTACCCCTTACATAAATTTTTTTATAAACAAATTTTGGAATGAGACTGAATAAAGGTAAATCGTGATGGATAGTATCTAATACTATTTATAATCTTTTTTCCATCTAGAAATATCTGATCCACTCTTTCTCTATGCCTCCAAACCTAGAATTTTATAACAACGGCCAGAAAAATGGTCTTCCTTCTATGTCAAACACCAAGAGTTAGATTAACAAGTGAACCATATTGTCTTGTACTGTTTGATATTCTCAATTACCCACATGTAAGCATATAAGCAATTTCTTCTCCAAAAGACAAATTTTATAACTTTCTACCACCAGCATTTAGATATGGCTTGTTGAAAAACAAACACTTGCCTCAAAGGATATTTAAGTGATAAAGTGCCACAATCACAGAGGAAGTATGTACTAATTGATGATTTAATGTGGTCAGGAAAGTAAGAATCACTGTCAGATGACTTGAATAAATACTTAGGAAACAACAATCATGCTAAATGTGTCTGGATCTCTTATGGAAAGTACAAACATTTATTGTGAAAAGGGGAAGCTCGCCTTGTGATGCTGAATTGTACTGAAAAGAATAACTTAAAATGGTTGTTGCTAATTAACTTATTGATTTTTGATGATAGTAATGGGAAAAAGTAAATATAGCAGTAGAAAACATGTAAAATGATTACAAGACACAGTAAAATTTCTTATCAAGAAATGAAATTAAAGGATAACTGGTGTGGCACTGCAAAGTCATTTGAACTGAAAGGCCGGTGGTTCAAGCTCACCAGCTGCTCCTAGGAAACCCTATACAGGGTCGCTAAGGGTAGGAATCGACTCAGTGGCACTTCACAACAACAATGAGGGAAATTGTGATGCTAGACGTTATCACACTGGTATTTCAAATACCAGCAGAGTTACCCAGGGTGGAGAGGTTTCAGTGACTCTTCCAGAATAAGGTTAAGAAGAAAGGACTAGTGAACTACTTCTGAAAACTGTTGTTGTTAAGTACTGTCAAATCAGTTCCAACTCATAACAATCCTATATCGGGTTTCCAAGGAGTGGCTGGTGAGTTTGAACCAACAACCTTGTGTTTCAAACCAACCTTTGAGTCCAGTGCTTATCCTATAGTGCCATACCAGAATGCCAATAGAAAACTGTTGTTGTTAAGTGCCGTCAACCCTGTAGAGGGTTCCCAAGGAGCGACTGGTGAGCTTGAACCACCAACCTTGCAGTTCAAACTGACTTTGCAGTCTGGCGCATTAACCCACAGCGCCACACCAGGACTCCTAATGGAAAATTAGCCAATGGAAATCTTCCAGATCACAGCAGAACACTGTCCGATTGGTTTACTGTGGATGCATCATCAGGAAGAATCAATTGCTAGAGGAGGCCATTGTGTTTGGTGAAGTAGAGGGCCACAGAGGGTGAGGAAGACCTTGGGTGAAATGGTTGGCACAGTAGCTACAACTATGGACCTGACCCTGTTGATAATCATAGTAAGGATGAAGCAGGACCAAACAGCATTTCATTCTATTGGACTTAAGATTACCATTAGTTAGAGTCATCTCGGCAGCTATCTCTTTATCTAATGAAGAAAAAACAAAAAAAGCCTGTATTTGTTTAATAAAAAAAATTCAACATACCCATGAAAATATTTCTCACATTGTTTCTTGGGATGGGATGGTAACAAATCCATGCTGTTGTTAACGACTCAGAACTGGCAATTACTGTTTATTTTTTAATGAATTCATCACTTTGAAGAATATGTAGTGTTGAGAAAAAGCTCTTTTGATTTTGAAAATATAAAATTTAGAGTTCAATTTCAATCAAATAAATTATAAATGACATTTAATACTGAATATAGCAGATCTTGTTGTTGCTGTTGACGTTAAGTGCTATAGAGTTTGGTTCCAACTCATAGCAACCTTGCATAGGGTTTCCAAGGCTCTTTAAATCTTAGAGGGAACAGAAAGCCTCATCTTTCTCCTGTGCTAGAAGTTCTTAGGGATAACAGAAAGCTGTTAAAAGCCTTAGTTGTGGTTCTTGTATAATTATGATCAAGTCATACACATACTATTGAATATCTGAACATGTTCTCCTCAAATATTAGAGGGTCATTGGATCTTTTCAAAGAAAAGCACTGTAGCAGCTTCAAGTGGTTGACTTCCTCAAAGGTGACATTCTCTGCAGTAATCATTTCCAAAATAATAAGAAAAGCCCTAGCTTTATTTTGCCCTTTGGAATTCAGTGGTCTTATCAATGCAACTCTTTGACTAACTAAGACAGTTGTTCTTGAACAGATTCAAAATGGCAAGGCTGATTCCACCGAAAAAAATTTCCTAGAAAAGAGTCAGTGTTAAGTAAAAAAAAAAGGAAACTAAGAGACTGAATCATAAAAAGAACTATTTCCATGACTTAATAGTGCCAGAAATACACATTCCAGATTGTCAGCTTCTATTTTTTAAATTATACTAACCTCCATTCTTTTTATTCCACCAACTCCTCGACCACCATAATAGGAGGCATCCACAGTTGGCCATTTCTTGTTAGGCAATTGCTCCTCTTCCTCCTTTGTAGGTACAATTAAAAAAAAAAAAGATTAATTTCTTAAAATACTATTTATTTGAATTCCATTTAAACATCTTTCTAAATAATTCAATTTAAATGTAAGGCCTATAGTACATTTATATCCAAAACATGTGAAATGCATGCATTTATACTGATATGTATAGACTTCAACTGGAGTTCTAGACAATATAAGGATTTTTTTCCCTCTTTGATATTTAGGATTCTTCTCTATTCCACTCCTATGTGGCAAGCAGTTGCTCCTTAACTGTGAGTATCATTATCTAGTACTCGCTTCATATTTAAAAATATAAAGCATAACAAATAGGACAGCACATCAAGAATCATTTAAATCATCAAAGCATCTGTAATTTGGAACTCTTTGAAATTTGAACTAAAAAATAAGCTGTCAAGAAACTTTGAAAATGTATAGGAAAGTACATAGCATAGTTCATACTGCTAAAAATATTTTGTCAAGTAAGTAATATAAAAGCAACAATCATCTTAAAGCAAATATTAACAATTTAAATGGCCAGATATATGAGGATAAGTAAAAAAGTATTCCTATAAAGCCATATAAACATTTATCCAACAAAAATATGGAAATGTGAAGTTACTGTGTTTCTTGACAGATCATCCATCTAGATATACATCCATCTAGATGAGCTCTGGTAGCGTAGTGGTTACGACTTGGGCTGTGAACCGCAAGGTCAGCAGTTCGAAACTACCAGCTGCTCCGCGGGAGAAAGATGAGGCTTTCTATTCCCGTAAAGATTTACACCCTCGGAAACCCTGTACAGGGTCGCTATGAGTCGGTTCCGACTCCACGGCACATAACAACAACAACAACAGATAGATATACTTCTGAAGGGGTGTTCCCATCTTTCTAAGCTTTTCTCTAAAGAATTCTGTGTTGTTAGAGTTGTTGTTGTTGTTAAGTGCTATCAAGTCGGTTCAGACTCATAGCCATCCTGTATAAGGTTTCCTAAGAGCAGCTGGTGAGCTTGAGCCGCCAACATTTTGATTCAAACCAAACTTGCAGTCCAGCACATTACCCCACAGTGCCACAACAGGACTCTGCTATTAGTTTCACCATGTCAAAATGGTAGTTTGGGCATCCTCGAGGGACTGAAATCAAGCTCCTTTTACATGTTCTTTGAGTTTGGGGAAAAAGAAAAAGACTGAAGTGGTAAGATCAAGATCACGGGTGAAGGGTGAATAGAGTAAAATTTTCCAAGGAAATTTTCATAGACTAGCCTTTGTTACCCTTGAAGAATAAGCAGATTTATAGAAAAAAATTCCTTGTTGTAACTTTTCTGGCCTTTTTCTCACCAACGTAGCTTTCAATTTTCTTAAAACTTCTTTACTAATAAGTCCCTTGATAGTCCTGTGTCTTTAAAGAAAATCTATTACGATTTCTCTATTTTTTTGTTGTTGTTGTTAAGTGCTGTCAAGTCAGTTCTGACTCATAGCAACCCTGTATATGGTTTCTGAGGAGCAACTGGTGAGTTTGAACCACCGATCTTGCAGTTCAAACCAACCTTGTGGTCCAATAAATTCTCTTGCAGCACTACACCAGAGCTCCATTTAGAATCCCAAATAACAGTTGTCCAAACCTTCTCTGTCTTATATTGAATTGAAACAACAGATTCCCTCAGAAGCCACTGTTCTGATCAGACCCTTATTTTTATTTTGTGTGTATGTGTGTGTGTGTGTGTGTGGCACTGTAAGGAGACTAGTGATTATTGGTATAGCACTGCAGGATAAGTTCTAGACCATAAGTTCAGTTGAAACTGCAGAGTCAGCTGTTCAAGCTCACCACCCACTCCTCAGAGACCCTGTACAGGGTTGCTATGAATCAGAGCCAACTCAATGATACTTAACAACAACAACAAAGGAGACTAAGACAAATGTATTAACGTGAGAGCATGTCTGTTCACATAGTAATACATTTAAACATGTTACAGAGAGATGTTTAAACATGTATTATTTGAAATAAACCAGTGCATGTATGAACTAGAAATCTAGTAGCAATACTTTTTGACTTCTCCTCCTATCTCCAACCTTTTTCTAAAATGAAATAAAGGGCTATTGAGCTACTAATATATGTATTTCCATAAAATTTATATTAAAGCCTTTATCCTTATGGTCAGTCTGCTTTTTAAAGGAATGAAAGTCCCATTCCTTTATAGCACATGGGGGAAAAAAAAAGGAATAAGACTAACAATTGAATCTTATAAATTCTAAAGTTAATATGTATCATAGTCTTTCAAAAACTCTAATTTTGATATTATTTAATTATATAAATATAGGAAAAACATTATGATACAAACCACTTTACCTCTTTTGGTGCAGGGGGAGGTGGTGGTGGCGGATCCTTGATTACCTGTACAAAAACAAAAAAAAACATCAAAAAAACACATATAAATACTTTAATGAAAAGAATGTATACAAATAATTAGATTGGTAAAGCACTGTGGTAGATAGAAAGCTATTCCCCAGTGAAATTTGTCTCTCAATATTTGTTTCTCTCTTCGAATCTGGCTGGGAGGGCCAGTGACTAACTCTTGACTAGCAGAATTATCAGTTCATGACTTTGAGTTAATGTCAAAGAAGCTTTTAAGCTTTTCCAAAGTCACAAGGGTCCACAAATTTGTTCATTTGTCCTACTGTAGTGGCTTGTGTGTTGCTATTACGATGGAAGCTCTACTATTGGTATTTCAAATACCAGCAGGGACACCCATGGTGGAGAGGTTTCAGCAGAGCTTTCAGACTAAGACAGACTAGGAAAAAGGAGTAGGGAGTCCACCTTTGAAGGATTAGCCTTTTGATAGCATTAAGAACTGCAGCAGAACTTTGATATGGTGCTATAAAAAAGAAACTCTTGTGTTGAAGGCACTCAAATTATGACTAAAGAGCTAACTCCTTAAAGTAAAATTATCTTTAATGATATAGATGTAGCACAGCTTTGGGGATGCTAATTTTGTAAAATAACCAGAAACAGTTGCAAACATCCATTAATAATAAGAATGAGGAATGTACGAACTTTAAATCTAGAAAAATTAGAAAACATCACAAATGAAATAGACTAAATAAAGATGGATATTCTAGGCATTTGTGACTTGAAGTGAACAGGTACTGGCCATTGTGTATCAGACAATCATGTGGTTTATTTTTCCATTCAAGAGTAAAAAAGATGAGGGACTCTGTCCAGAGAAGCAGTGATACCAGAGATGGAGGCAGAGCTGATGACATAGAGAGATAGAGCAACTGGGGACTTTGGATCTGTGAGGGAGAGGGTTTATGTGTTGATGGCCAGGGGGCAGGCTTGCAGGGTGTACCCTTTGGTTGCTTGATGATACATGTGGGGAATTGTAATAATTGTGCAGCAAAGTAGGATAGAATAGGGCTGGTGTTCTCCCATTTGAAGAACTATCTTGAAATATAATATTGTCTGTGACAGGGTAATATACAAATGTTACAAGGAAGATCATTTAAATCAAGTCTTATTAAAACACCAAAGCCAAAGGTAATAAAATTGAAGCATTCTACCAACTTCTTCCATAAAAACTGCAATCTTGGAAACCCTATACAAAGTTGCTATGAGTTGGAATCAACTCCATGGTACATAACAAAAATAACAACCAAATTCTTCAGTGTAAAATCGATCAAACATGTAATAAAGATACATTGGTAGTCATGGGTGACTGGAATGTGGAAGTTGGAAACAAAGAGGAGGGATCAGTAGATGGACAATATGGCATTGTTCACAGAAATGGCGCTAGAGATCTCATGATAAAATTTTACAAGACCAATGACTTATTCATTGCAATTACCTTTTTTCAACAGCATGAAAAGCAAGTATGTAGGTTTTGCTAGAAGGAATATACAAGACTCAAACTTACTACATCTGTGGGAAGAGATGTTGTTCTTGTTGTTGTTAGGTGCCATCAAGTTGGCACCGACTCATAGTAAACCTATGCACAACAGAATGAAACACCGCCTGGTCCTGGGCCAACCTCACAATTGTTGCCACACTTGAGCCCACTGATAGTATAATATTGACAATCCACCTCTCTGGGGGTCTTCCTCTTTTTCTGTGACCCTCTACCTTACCAAACATGATATCCTTCTGCAGCAATTGGTCCCTCATGACAATATGTCCAAAGTATGAGAGACAAAGTTAGGTCATCCTGGCCTCCAAGGAGCACTCTGGCTGCACTTCTTCCAACACAGATCTGTTGGTTCTTTTGGCAGCCCATGGCACTTTCAATATTCTCAACCAACACCATAACTCAAATACATCAATTATTCTATGTTCTTGCTCATTAATAATCCAGCTTTCGCATGCATATGAGTTTATTGAAAATACCATGGCATGGGTCAGGCACATCTTAGTCCTCAAGCTGACTTATTTGCTCTTCAATACCTTAATAAGGTCTTGTGCAGCAGATTTGCCTAATGCAGTATGTCGTTTGATTTCTTGACTGCTGCTTCCATGAGTGTTGATAATTGATGCAAGAATGAAGTCCTTGACAACTTTAATCATTTCTCCATTGATAAGAATGTTGTTTATTGGTCCAGTGGTGAGGATTTTTTATTTCTTTACATAGAGATGCAATCCATACAAAAGGCTGTGGTCTTTGATCTTCATCAGTAAATATTTTAATTCCTCTTCACTTTCAGAAAGCAAGTTTGTATCATCTGCATATCGCAGGTTGTTAATGAGTCTTCCTCCAATCCTAATGACACGTTTTTCTTCATAGAACCCAGCTTCTTTTCAGATTATTTACTCAGCATACAGGTTGAATAAGAATGGTGAAAGAATACAACCTTGTCGCACACCTTTCTTAATTTTAAACCATTCAGTGTTCCCATGTGCTATTCAAACAACTGCCTCTTGGTCCATGTACAGATTCGTCATGAGCACAATTAAGTCTTCTGGAATACTCATACTTCGCAATGTTGTCCATAGCTTGTCATGATTTACACAATTGAAAGCCTTTGTGTAGTCAATAAAGCACAGGTAAACATATTTCTGATATTCTCTGCTTTCAGCCAAGATCCATGGGACATCAGAAATCATATCCCTCGTTCCACAGCCTCATCTCAATCCAGCTTAAACCTCTGGTAGTTCCCTGTCAATGTATGCTTGCTGCTGTTTCTGTATTACCTTTAGTAAAATTTTACTTGCATGGGATATCAAAGAGATTGTCCAATGTATTCCGCATTCCATCGGGTCACTTCTCTTTGAAATGGGCACAAATACGGATCTTTTCCAATCAGTTGGCAAGATAGTTGTCTTCCAAATTTCTTGGCATAGATAAGTGAGTGCCTCCAGTGCTGCCTCACTTTCTTGAAAGATTTCAATTTGTATTCCATTAATTCCTGGTATCTTGTTCTTTGCCAATTTCTCCAGTATACCTTGGAATTTTTCCTTCAGTATCATTGACTCTTGATCATATGCTACCTCTTGAAATGGCTGAACACCAACCACTTCCTTTTGGTACAGTGACTCAGTGTATTCCTTCCTTCTTTCTTTGATGCTTTCTACATCATTCAATAATTTGCCCAGAGAATCTTTCAATAATGAAAGTCGAGGCTTAAACTTTTTCTTCAGTTCCCTCAGCTTGAGAAATGTTGAGCATGTTCTTCCCTTTTGGTTTTCTGACTCCAGATCTTTGCAAATTTCTTTGTAATATTTAACTTTGTCTTCTCGAGCTGACCTTTGAAATTATCTGTTCAGCTCTTAGACCTCTTCATTTCTTCCATTTGCTTTAGCATCTCTACATTGGAAAGCAAGTTTCAGTGTCTCTTCTGATATCTATTTTGACCTTTACCTTCTTTCTTGTCTTCTTAATGACTTTTTGCTTTCTTTATGTATAATATTTTTTTATTTTATCCCACAACTTTTCTGGTTTTCGGTCCTTAGTGTTTAATGTATCAAATCTGTTCTTCTGATGATCTCTAAATTCTGGTCAGATATATTCTAGGTCATAATTTGGCTCTCAATGACTTGTTTTCATTTTCTTCAGCTTCAGTTTGAATTTGCATAAGAGCAAATGATGGTCTGTTCCACAATCTGCCTCTGGCCTTGTTTTGACTAATGATATGGAGCTTTTCCATCACCTCTTTCCACAGATGTAGTCAGTTTGATTTCTGTGTATTCCATCTGGTGAGGTCCATGTGTATAGTCATCTCTTATGCTGTCTAAAAAAGGTATTTGAAATGAACAAATAATTGGTTTTGCAGAATTCTATCATGCGATCTCCAGCATCATTTCTATCACCTAGGCCATATTTTCCAACTACTGATCCTTCCTCTTTGCTCCCAACCTTTGCATTCCAATCACCAGCAATGATCAATACATCTTGATTGCATGTTTGATCAATTTCAGATTGAAGAAGTAGGTAGAATTCTTCTATTTCATCCTCACTGACTTTTGTGGTTGGTGCATAAATTTGAATAATAGCGGTATTAACTGGGCTTCCCTGTAGGTGCATGGATATTATACTATCACAGACAGCGTTGTACCTCATTACTGATCTGGAAATGTCTTTTTGACAATGAATGGAATACCATTCCTCTTCAATTTGTCATTCCTGGCATAATAAACCATGTGGTTGTCAGATTCAAAATGGCCAATATCAGTCCATTTCAGATCCCTAATGCCTAAGATACTGATGTTTATTCATTCCATTTCATTTTTTATAATTGTCAGTTTTCCTAGATTCATACTTTGTACATTCCATGTTCTGATTATTAATGGCTATTTAGAGCTGTTTCTCTTCATTTTGAGTTGTGCCTCTTTAGCACATGACAGTCTTGCAGGCTTTACTCCCACAGGCTTTACTCCATTCACATCATCATGGTCAACTCTACTTTGAGGTGGCAGCTCTTCCTCAGTGGCATTTTGAGTGCCTTCCAACCTGAGGGGCTCATTTTCTGGCATTATATGTTTCTCTGCTGTTCATAAACTTTTCAGTGACTAAATATCTGGAAGTAGTTCATCACTCCTTCCTAGTCTGTTTTCATCTGGAAGCTCATCTGAAACCTGTCCACCATGGGTGACCCTGCTGGTATTTAAAATACCCATGACATAGCTTCCAGAATCACAGCAACTCGCATGGCACCACAGTACGACACACTGACAGATGATTGGTGGGAAGAGATTATGGAGAAGCTTACTATCATCAGTCAAATTAGACTGAAGCTGAAGAAAATTAAAACAAGTCAACGATAGCCAAAATAAGACCATGAATATATCCAACCCAAATTTAGAGACTATCTCAAGAACAGATTTGACTCACTGAACATTGACAGAAGACTAGAGAAACTGTGTGATCACATCAAGAACATCATACATGAAGAAATCAGAAGCTCATT